GAGACAAACATACACGAAAGCGACTACTGCAGGAAAGGAATTTAGATCTAAAGAAGTGTATTGACATCTGTAGAAGCACTGAAGCCTCAAATTCGCAGTTGAGACAAATCTCCGCAGCACAGAGCGAGGATGTACATAGTATGAAAGACAAACAACAGCTGCCGAAGAGACGTTTTGACAAGTCAAAGAAGAACCGGAAATCAGAAGAAAAGCTTGGAAAAACATGCAAATTTTGTGGTCAAATTCATGTTTTTGAAAAAGGCAAGTGTCCCGCGTGGGGAGCCACATGTGCTAAATGTAAAGGAAGAAATCATTTTGCCTCAAAATGTAACAGCAAGGTCCACAGTATGAGAGGAGTCCGAAGAATCAGAAGAAAGTGACATAGAATACATCACAAGCATTACAGACCAACCGGAAGTGGTACATGCAATGAAGAAAGAATACCCGAAAGAAATCTACACTGAAATGGTTGTTGCAAAGAAACCCGTGAAATTCCAAGTTGACAGTGGTGCTTCAGTTAATGTGATTTCCGCCGAACTTGCTCCAGACGAGTCACTCAAGCGCACGACGAAGACACTGTGAATGTGGAATGATACGACACTGCAACCTCTTGGATCCTGTCGCATCATTATTCAAAACCCGAAGAATGGAAGGAAGTTCTCAGTGGAATTCTTAGTTGTTGAGAAACAACTAACACCAATCATAGGAGTGCAGGCAGCTCAGCAAATGGGCCTAATTACCATCAATGAAGAAAATCTCAAGATTGCACAGCCACCTAAACGGACGAGGCCAGCAGTCAAGAGTCTCAGTACAACTGAAGAAATTATCAAGCATCACCCTGCAGTGTTCCAACCAGAATTAGGAACACTACCCGGAACGGTGCATTTAGAAGTGGATCAAAACATCACTCCCGTAGTTGCGCCACCTAGGCGTGTACCAGCTTCACTCAAGGGCCAGCCGAAGCAGGAACTGGACCGTCTGCAAGAAATAGGCATTATTGCTCCAGTAGACGAACCCACCCAATGGGTCAGCGGTTTAGCTGTGGCAGTTAAGAAGACCGGAGCTTTGAGGATCTGCCTAGACCCCAGACCATTAAATACAGCACTTAGAAGAGNAATGGGTCAGCGGTTTAGCTGTGGCAGTTAAGAAGACCGGAGCTTTGAGGATCTGCCTAGACCCCAGACCATTAAATACAGCACTTAGAAGAGAGAGATATCAGCTACCTGTGCTAGAGGACATACTTCCTGAGCTGTCTGAAGCACGAGTCTTTTCCACAGTCGACCTAAAATCTGGTTACTGGCATTGTGTCTTGGCACCAGAATCAAGTGTCCTTACAACATTTGCCACTCCCTATGGCAGGTACCGTTGGTGTCGTCTACCTTTTGGTCTATCCGCATCGTCAGAGATATTCCAGAAACATCTACACCATGCCTTCGAGAACCTGGAAGGAGTCCTGTGTATTGCAGATGACATCCTGATCTGTGGAAAGGAGCAAAATGATGACGAAGCTACCTCAAACCATGACGAGAACCTGGAGAAGCTGCTTCAAAGATGTCTAGCTTACGGCATAGTTCTGAACGCAGACAAGATGAAACTGTGCCAAAAAGAGGTTCCTTACATGGGTCACCTGTTATCGAGCGATGGTCTGAAACCTGACCCCGGTAAGGTGGAGGCTGTAACCAAAATGCCTAGACCAGAAGATGTGGAAGGAGTTGAAAGGCTCAATGGCTTCGTAAACTACTTGGCGAAGTTCCTTCCCAAGCTTTCGGAAATCATGGAGCCCATACGTCGCCTGACAAGAAGACACACAATGGCAATGGTCAGAGGAGCAGGACAGCGCATTCCAGAAGATACAACACATGGTCACACAAGCTCCAGTGCTGAGCTATTATGACCCTTGCAGTGAGCTCACTATCCAATGTGATGCAAGTCAAAGTGGCCTCGGAGCAGCTTTACTTCAGAATGGCCGACCCATTGAGTACGCAAGCCGAGCATTGAGAGACAGAGAAACGATACGTGCAAATTGAAAGAGATGCTAGCTATCGTTTTCTCTCTTGAGCGATTCAACCAATATACATTTCGTCGACATGTCAATGTGGAAAGTGACCACAAACCACTAGAAGTGATTCTTCAGAAGCCGCTTTTCACGTGTACCACGGCGATTACAGTCAATGATGATGAGACTGCAGAAGTATGACTTCACTGTCCACTATGAGTGCGGTAAAAACATGCACCTGGCCGACACGTTGTCGCGAGCTTTCCTCCCGTTTGAAGGTGATAATGAGGACGACCTAGAGTTTGTGAACATGGTCAACTATGTACCCATTTCTGACAAGCACATCACTGAAATTAAGGCTGAAACTTGGAAAGATCATTCTTTACAAAGTTTATCTGAAACCATTCTCAAAGGCTGGCCAGAAGAAAAGAAACTTGCCCCTGAACTGACTCACCCATATTTTGATATGCGGGATGAGTTGACTCTTCAAAATGGATTGATTTTCAAAGCAAATGCTGTGGTGATCCCTAAGAATCTTCGTGCAGACATGAAAGCAAGAATTCATGCCTCCCATTTAGGAACAGAGTCATGTCTAAGAAGAGCACGTGAATGTATCTACTGGCCCGGAATGTCGGCTGAAATCAAGCAGTACATCTCAGGATGCGAGATATGCAGGGAGTTCGATACAACGTCGCAACCCAATGAGTCCTTGATGAGCCACGAGGTCCCCTCTCGGCCCTGGGAGAAGGTAGGCGCTGACATCTTTACGCTGGATGGTAAAGACTATTTGGTTACCATCGACTACTACAGCAACTTTTGGGAGGTAGACAGGTTACCAGACACCAAGGCAACCACAGCCATCCTGAAGCTGAAAAGCCACTTCTCCCGCTATGGAATACCTGATCAAGTCGTGAGCGACAATGGTCCACAATTCACCTCCAAAGAATTTGTGTCATTCGCAAAGACCTGGGACTTTGAGCACCTAACCAGCAGTCCCGGGAACAGTAAGGCTAATGGCAAGGCAGAGTCTGGAGTAAAGACAGCCAAGCGTCTCCTACGGAAGTCTATCAAGGCTGGGACTGATCCGTATTTGGCTTTCCTTGATTATAGGAACACTCCTACCCAAGCGATGACCACGAGCCCTGCG